TTTTTTTTTTTTAAACTTCTTTTTTTTTTGATACGGGGGATCGAACTCGGGCCCTTGTGCTTGCGGGTCAGGTGGCAGAACCATTGAGCTAAATCCCCAGCCCTGTTGAGGGTGGCTTTGAAATTACTATGTAGCCCAGGTTGGCCTCAAACTCATGAGAATCTTCCTGCCTCAGCCTCCCAAGTGCTGGGATTACAGGCATGTGCCACCATACTGGCTTTGTCATGGAATTTAAAAATCTTTCTGTAAAAATTCATGATGCGGGGCCGGGGATTTAGCTCAGTAGTTGAGCCGCTTGCCTCGCAAGCGAAAGGTTCTGAGTTCGATCTCTGGTACCAAAAAAAAAAAAAATTCACGATGTGTACTTGTTAGAAGTGAAACAGTTAATTCTGGCCAAAAGCGATAAAATTCTGATTTGATTTCCCTGCTCCAAATGGCTGAAAGAATGGAACCTTCAGAAGCTCTTTTGTATTTCTTTGTAGTTTTCAAGGCTAGGAGGGAAGGAGTGAAAAGAACATGGAGCCCAGGCTTACCACTGCCCCAAGGCTGAAGCTGATCAGTCTTTCTCTGTAGCCCCAGTCTGGTTCTGTGAAATATATACATTTAGATGGTGTTTTTTCTGGGGTACATGCTATTTTAAATAGTACAAATCTGTATCAGATAGTAGATAATATTTGACATAAAATAAATGTAATATTCTTGTAGGGTTGATCGACATTGTTCCATTTTATGTTGTCGTTTTCAGGCCTAAGACCAAAGTTCTCTTTTGAACATATGCAATTGTTGCATGTGCTTAATGTTTTTATGTTTAATAGAAATGAGTACAGTGATTGGTTGACTAGATAATGAATGCTTTGAATGAATGATACCTTGTTTCAGGTATCAAATGACCTCTATTCATAATGGATTATTAAGTACTCATCATTTTATAATTTAAGTAAATTATACAATTAGTTTTATATTCATCAGAAATATATATGACTTAGCCATTTTTCAGTAAAACTTATGGAATAGTTTATATCCTTCTGATACTGTGTTTGATGCATCCAAGAGATAGATTCCAGCTCCTTGTGTAAGGTGAGCAAAGAATTGCAAGTGTATGCCCAGTGGTAAAAGAAAAAATATCTGCATTTATTGAAGATAGCAGGAAGGTGTGTGTGGGTTCCTGCCAGCCAAAACAAAAAGGTGGCACGAATGGGAAAAGTGGTGCTGGGTTCACTGGGGAACAGGAAGAAACAAGATACATCAGACTTTCCTATTCTAAAAGACCTGCCCCGTGCCCTTGGTACCTCTCACTGGATCTCTCTGGATAACATTGACAGAAATGATTGACAGGTGCTGGTCATCTCAGTGTGCAGGACTCTCCCAGAATGCACTGGGTTTTTTTTTGTTTTTTGGGGGTACTGGGGATTGAACTCAGGACATTGCCCTTGCGAGGCAGATGCCGGAGCCACTGAGGTAAATCCCTGGCCCCTAAGAATGCACTGTTTTAATCATGTGCATGATATGATGTCCCTTTGCATGAACCATTATTTCCAATGGGGAAAGGTCACTGAAGGTCACCACGGGATCTGACAAAGAATTAATTAATTAATTGATTGATTAATTGATTTTTGGTACTGGGGATCGAACTCTGGACCTTGTGCTTGTGAGGCAGGCGGCAGAACCACTGAGCTAAATCCCTGGCCCCTGACAGGAAATTTAGCAGGCACACAATCTGGCCTGGAGCTTTGGAAATTTCCTGTGTCTTTGTTGCTCTTACTTCATTTCTCTAAGGATGGTGATGGCGAACCTTTTAGAAACCAGGTGCCCAAACTGCATCCCAAAACCCACTTATTCATTGTGAAGTGCCAACAATGCAATTAAACCTGAACACCGAGGTTTTAGTTTAGAAAAACAACTCATGCTTTAACATCTTTTGCCTTAAAAGAAAAACCCAATAAACACAATAACAGAGATTTCAATGAAACCAACAGCTTTTTATGGAAAGGTAAAAGTCTGCATTTGGTGTGCTTTTGCACGGTTTACATGATCTCTCCTGCTGTGGGCATGCTGATAATTTGTCAAATCTTGGCTCATACTTGGTTAGTTTGTGAGCAACACATGCAGCACTTGGGTCATCTTTGTTAGTCTGTTTCTTGTATCAGATTTGATATAACTAAAAGCTGAAAACAGCTGCTCACAAGCATAAGATGATCCAAATAAAGTAAGAAAAGCAATCTCAAGTGCTTTCATTGACTTACAGTTACTTGGCAGAGTTCCACATTTTAAGGGTTTCATTTTCAGAACTACCAACTGTGCTGACCTGTCATTCCTTCATACTCTACCTTCTCTTATCTTCTCAGCTGTTTTTCCAGATACAGCTTTCTTGAAATTCCAATAGCTCCATTTCTAAATTTCCAAAATACAACCAGTATAATCAGGAAAGATTAAGCTCTTCAAATTTGGCTTTATCTAGAGAAAGAAGAAAACACAGGATTGTCCCTATCTTACAGAACTGTAAAAATCTGTTAGTAAAATTCTTTGCAGTTGCTACAGTGCTAGAAAATTCCTTGTAAATTTCTGATGCCCTGTAGGATTGTCTGTAAGTGTAGAGTTTTCTAAATGCATTTTTAGATTGGGAAAATATTTCAGCTGCCCACTTTCAAGGTCTGGGGTGACTTGGCTCATGTGCCAACAGAGAGGGCTCTGTGTGCCATAGGTTCACCACCAGTCTTAGGGCAGTGGAAGGAGGATTAGCCCTGAGGTGTTGCCCAAATTCAAGTGGATGGAGGGGGCGTGATCTCCTAGCCCCAGTTGTACTACCTGTACTACTTCTTTTTTTTGGTACCAGGGATCAAACTTGGGACCTTGTGCTTGCGAGGCAGGTGGCAGAACCACTGAGCTAAATCCCTGGCCCTACCTGTACTACTTCTTTTTGTTTTTTTTGTACCGGGGACTGAACTCAGGACCTTGTGCTTTCGAGGCAGATGGAGCTACCTGTACTACTTCTAATTTCTCTCCTTTTCAGTACAGTTTCTGCTGAGCTTATGGGTTTTACAAGTTGATTTAGGGAGATATGAGAAGGGATAGTAGAAAATGCATTATCTCATTATGTAGTATCACCGGAATCCTATGACAGTGTCTTAGATTAAAAGCACTGGTTAAGTTGATATTTTATCAGAGGGTATTTGGAAATGGAGAAATGTCAATTGGATAGCATCTTGACTGTTTGTTTTTAGGTTGCCAACTTTGCAACAATGGAAGATGAAGAAGAGCTAGAAGAGCGTCCTCATAAGGATTGGGATGAGATCATTCCAGAGGAGCAAAGGAAAAAAGTAGAGGAGGAGGAGCGGCAGAAGGAGCTGGAAGAAATATATATGCTGCCTCGAATTCGTAGTTCCACTAAAAAGGTGAGCAAGTGAGATGAAGGTCGTGGAAGTATGGTACTTGTGCTGTGAATTCTGCCTGGAATGCAGATGACTCCAGGAAGAGGCCTTATATCGTTGCCCTGACTCAGAGGCCCGCAGAATCAGAGTGTGAGAAACCAGAGAGAAAAGGAGAAAGTACACGAAATTTACAAGCATACCTGTAAGACATTTGACTTTGCAACCCAGCTTCTTAGGAAATGGCAGAAGGGGATCTGAGTTCTATAGAAGTTTATGTTTTGCCTTTGAGTTTAGAACTGCCAATCCTAAAGATTTGGTTCTAATTGCCACTGCCTTCAGCTTCACTGTACCTTTTTTTGTCTTTTACATGTTCCCAGGACTTGCTATAGATACTTATGTAACTAAATAGGTTACATAATTTAAAACAAGGAAGATTGATAGGCTTCACATCTTTAAAAAAGTACCTTCATAGGCATCATGTAATTTGACTTTTGCAACACTGAAGTAGATAAAAGAAGTTACCCATTTTTGTTGACGAGAGTAGACTTAGATTTGTCTGCCAGCATAGTAAACCAGTATTAGGTAATGCTAGTTAGCATTTATTGAGCGCTTTCTATGTGCCAGGCATAGTTCTAAGCACATTTTACTTACTGACTCATTTAATCCTCAGGAAAACCCTGAGTTATCTGAACTGTTGCTTTTTTAGTATTAAACTGATAACAGATACTACACTTGATCTTAGCCAAAAGGCTGGGAAGCAATTTTTTTTTTTATAAAGGAAAAAACAAAGACCAAAAAGTAGTAACTTATTCAAGGAGGTAAAGATGAACTTGTTTTATACTGGACATTATATACATTAGATATTATTAAAATACCCAGATATTTAATCTACTTTATTATTACATTACAGTGTCCCTGAAAGTATGTCTGTCCCAAGCAAGTTTACCCTCATTGTGTGACATCTTATTTGTTAAAAGGAAAATTGGCTTTTCTGGAAATTCTGAGTACTAAAGAATTGGAAAGCTGGAGTGATTGTAGTCCTTTTGTTTCTTGGACCTGACACTTGCTAATGTGTGACTTTACTTTATTCTTTTTCAGGCTCAGACAAATGATAGTGACTCCGACACCGAGTCAAAGAGGCAAGCCCAGAGATCCTCGGCATCTGAGAGTGAGACAGAGGACTCTGATGATGACAAGAAGCCAAAGCGCAGAGGGCGCCCCCGGAGTGTGCGCAAAGACCTGGTGGAGGGGTTCACGGATGCGGAGATCCGCAGGTCGGTGCAGGCTCTGCTGTCCTTTGAGCTTGTTTGGAAGGGCTGATTGGGTTCCTGGCATTCATGGGGGTTGGGCAGAGGTCAGTACCTACAAAAAAGGCAGAGAAGATGATTCATGTCTCACTCTTCAGGGTGGTTCCTTCTGCAGAGTTTGCCTCAGCTGAGATCTGCTTTGTTGTTCATGTCCTTTTGTTTTCCTCTTGTTCTCTGGTTATTCTGAACATTTTCATGAATAAAGTTCAACCAGGGGAAAAGGAGGGAGGGATTTGCATATGTCACATTTGTACTTACGTACATTCATAAGTAATATGAATGTGAAAAAGTACAAATAGGGCTGTCCTTACTAACTCTCCTCTTTCTCCGGGACTCTCCTCAAACCTAGTTTCCTTAGTGTAAGTACCAATGTCAGTTTGGTGTTGGTTTGGTTCCTTTGGTCATTTAATAGTATACACACATGTTGTTTGGCAGCTTGTTTTTTTTTTGTGGGTTTTTTTGCCACTTGAAATCAATTTTTTCCATTTTTCTGTGTCAGTACATATTTCTCATTTTCTGGTATCTATTTCATACCGCTGTGCCCTCCAGAAACATCTAAAATTGTATTTTCAAGTCAATTTTCTTAGTTTCCTCGTTACTGTTTTTTTTTAAACCTGAGGAAAATAGGAAGAAGTATGAATATAGCTACTTTTATGGCTCTAACTGTTTTGTGTGTCATTCTTGCACAGGGACCATGCTAATCTTTTCTGTATCATTCCAACTTTAATATATGTGCTGCTGAAGCGAGCACTGGCCCTGTTTTATAAATAGATAGTCGTTTAAGATCAGTATATTTGGGGGCTGGGGATTTAGCTCAGTGGTGCCGCCGCCTGCCTCGAAAGTACAAGGTCCTGAGTTTGATTCCCGGTACCAAAAAAAAAAAGATCAATATATTTGAAATTGTGAGGTCTTTATTTCCTCTTAAATGTTATACCTATTTTTCCTTCTTTGTTACTAGAATATAACTATACTTAACAGTTTTGAATTTGTAGCATATCTACTTCCCCTTGCTCCTTATCCTCAATATTTTGAGAAGAATGTGTTTTCTTCTGTTGGGTAGAATGTATAAGTGTACTTGGTTTAGTGTTGTTCAGATCTTCTATTACTTACTGATTTCCTGAGTAATTCTGTTATTGCAAGTAGAGTGTTGAACTTTCTGTTATTCTTGTATTACCTATTCCTTCAGTGTGGTCAATTTTTGCTTTAAGTGTTTTGGAACTTTGTTGTTAGGTACATATATTTTTCTTTTTCTTTC